TGAAACTATTTAAGCTCACATCAGGTACAGTTCCTGTCTTCAAGTTGTGTTATTACATTTTCCTGAATTTAAATAGATTAAAAATAAACCACACTGTCAAAATGAATTGTAAGGATGAAAAAACAAAAGTCAAGTTTTTCAGTTCTGTCATTTGGAATTTTTGTTTCTAAAATATAAAATAGTAAAATGGCAGACTGAAAGGTGTAATATTTTTGTTTGCTAAATGCAAACAGTAGTTCACACAGGTAAGATTTTACTAAATTTGAATAACATCTTTAAAATGAAATTGTTTCTTTGTTATTAATGTATCTATTTGTTGTTAAACTGTAATATTATTATTCATTACTGCCACAGACCTATATATGGGTGTAAGTTTTTCTGTTTTCATTAAATACATTAATGTAATTTTAAAAAATTTATTTATTTATTTTATCTTTATTTGTACTCTACTATGTATTTTACTTTTTACATTTTTATTTGTTAGAAGCATGATTTTATATAATTATATATACATATATATTCTATATAAAATGTATATGTGTGTGTGTATATATATATATATGGAGAGAGAGAGAGAGAGAGAGAGAGAGAGAGAGAGAGAGAGAGAGAATGCCAAAAAAATGTATACACATTGTAAGAAAGGAAAAAACTATTAAAATTGTAATACTCAATATACACCAATAGCAAAAGATGAATGCAAGTCATGTTTGACTTCTGCAATTACAAGAGGTGCTCAAAGTGGTTACTGTCAGTGTAATTTTTTTTTTAAGATTTTTTTTTTTTTGGGGGGAATTGGAGGGATGGGAACACTGCTGGGGAATTGGGGGAAGGGGAACAGACAAGTTGCTGTCATTTTGTTCTTCAGTCCAGTTGTGGAGGACATTGCTTCACTGGCTCAAGTTGGCACCATCACTGCACTCTTCCCGGGCGAGGCAGATTGGTCGCCAGCTTATGGACTGCCACTCACTGCGGCTGCTGGCCGCTCATGCTGGCTGCTGGCTATACACGGTAGCCCATGGCAACCCACTGCCACAGGGGCTGCAGCCTATGCAGTCGCCGGCAACTCACGGCAGCCCAGCTCCAGGTTGAGCTGTTGTTCAGCATCTTAGCTGTGGAGGGTAGTGTCACTGGACCTCATATGTGGGATCTGAACCGGGGCCCTCTGGCGTCCTAAGCCAGTTCTTAACCATCGCGCCACTCTGTCGGCTCACTGTCAGTGTAATTTTAATACACTGATCTGTGGGAGATATGTTCCAAGAACCCCAGTGGATGTATGAAATGGCAGATTACACTGAACCCTATATACACTATGTTTTTTTTTCCTATACATACATACCTATGATAGAGTTTAATTTATAAATTAGGCACAGTAAGTGATTACCAACAATAGCTAATAATGAAATAGAACAATTATAACATTATACTGTAATAAAAGTTATGTTAATGGCTTTGGGCAATTATTAAGTAAAAAAGCAATGCTTGAACATAAGCACTTCAATACCATTGACAGTCGAGTGACTAATGGACAGGTAGCATATACAGTGTGGATATACTGGACAAAGGGTGATCCACATCCTAAGACTGTGTGGGACAGCACAAGATTTTATCGCACTACTCAGAACAGCATGCAATTTAAAACTAATGAAGTGTTCGTTTCTGGAATTTTCCATTTAATATTTTGGAACCTCAGTTGACTACGGGTAACTGAAACCATGGAAGGTGAAAACGCGGATGAGGGGGGAGTACTATATACGAGTTCCGATAAAAGAAAATGTTTGCTGTGTACATTTTTCTGCATAATTTATTATTCATTTCTTTCAAGATTTTTACTGAAAACAATTTTGTTGTGTAAGAAAGTACTTTAAAAGTATCTGCTCTATGGGACAAATATAGTAGGCCATTTGTCAAATAGATAACATTTTTGTAACTTATATTTCACACAAAGTGCTGTTTTTTTTAACATAGTTTCTAAAAACAAACAAACAAACAAAAACAAGAAAAAAATTCAGTATACATCAGAAAAAGATAAGGTTACTATGACATGAAAGAAATAAAAATTTCTCTTAAGTTTAAGCATATTGAAAAATGTTCAACCTCACTTACTGGGGAAAAAATGTAAATAAATCTGTACTCTTATAACACCTTTATGTATCAAATTTGAAAAGATGAAAAAGCTTAATAAGGTATATGTTCTATGGTCAAGAGTATGGAAAATAGGCACTGTCATATATTGATAATCAGAATGCAAAATAAAACAACCTTAATAGAGAGAAATTAGGCAATGTCTTTCAAAATTAAGACGATTCATTCCTTTGATTCAGCAATTTCACTCCTAGGCAAGTACTGACAGATATATTTAGCATATATGGGAAATGATGCCTGTTATATGAAGAGGTTAATTTGAACATTGTTTATAATAACAAAACATTGGAAACAATCTAAATGCCCTTTCAGGGGCTAATTACAGGGCCACTGACTGCAAATTGCACCCGTGTTG